CAGCACTTTAAATTTTCCCTGCCACTACTTAAGAAAAAAAAACTGATTAAAGAGAGGCGGAGAAACTACTTTATTTGCTGTTAATAGCATATAAAAATTATTCAGTATGAAGGAGGGGTGGGGGCCGAGAAAAATAATGCTGAGTTGAGAGGCGCCACTAGGTAAAGTTTGGAAACCACTGGTGTATTTGAATAGTTCTACGTGTGAACATTACTATACTATAACTGTTATACAGATCGTTACTGTATTGTAAATGTTCTACTTTTGGCCGATACTGTACTGCAACTGTTATACGGGTCATTACTGTATTGTAACTTCTACACGTGGACGGTACTGTACTGTAACTATTCTACATGTGAACATTACTGTACTATAACTGTTATACAGGTCATTGCTGTATTGTAACTGTTTTCCATGTGGATGGTACTGTACTGAAACTGTTATACAGGTCGTAACTGTTCCACACGTGGAGGGTACTTTACTGTAACTATTCAACATGTGGGCGGTACTATACTACAACTGTTATACACGAATGAAGCTAGGAATATCTCATGGAATTGTTAACAAGATAAGAAGCAAGTATTTTAAACGGATGAAGGCTTATAAGCCAAAAGCTTCTAGCCACAACTTGAAATTAAGGCTGCTTTCATGAGAGAGATGACCAAAGAAATTGAAACCCTATTGAACAACACATTTTTAAGTCTCCTATTGCTGTTCCAATGGACTTTTGTGCTTTTGGTCTACTTAAACTTGTGTTAGGAGGACATACACTTAAAATCTCACCTAGTTTATGGAAAGTGCGTGGACAAGAGAAATGAGGCAACAATGACATGGTTGTTCTTCGAAGGAGATTGTTATCACGGAAACATTTCTCCAAGACTCTTGTTAAGAAGAAGGGGAAGCAAACATTTGTACGTAGATTCAGTAGTAGTGTATCGAACTTAATTATTATATACATTACTTACCATACGGGCTGGTTGTGCGTTAGTGATTAGCGTGTCGTTCTGTGGAACTGAGGGTCCTTGGTTTATGTCCCGCTTCCGCAAAATCACGCGGCGTAAGTGCTTTATATAAGGTAGATTATCCTAAAAGTTGGCGATGGGTACTCTTCACTAGTCGCCTTCCACTTATTCTACCAGTCCAAATGAAAGGAAAGCTGTGGAAAGTAACTCTTGTGTAACTTTGCAACAATATAAGAAATAAACAGGTAAGATCTACCATATAACAGTTACAGTTACAATATGGCACTGACACGTATAAAAGCTACAGTACAGTACTGCTACGGTTATTGTACAGTAATAACCTGTATAACAGTCACAGTACAGTACCACCCACATATAAAACAGTTACAGTACAGCATCATCCACACGTAGAACAGTTACAGTAAAGTATCGTCCACATGGAAAACAGTTACAATACAGTAATGAACAAGTGTCATTTTCGGGTTGGAAGGTCCTCTTTTGTAACCACTTTGCGGATGAGAGTGTTTCTCCAGATTGGCATGGAGGTTGTTTCCGACCCTTTAGCTGTCTTAACTATGTTTTGTGTGAGTTTTTCCGCTTCGATAGAAAATACTGAAGGTTCATTATTTCGTGGCTCAACATCATTTAGCATCTCGTTATGTGAATATTTCTTTTCGGCAAGAACAATCACAATCACCAGCAGATTTACAAGCCCTCTCACCGCGATTTCTATTTCTTTGCCTGAACTGATACCTGTTTATTACTTAGTTCTAGAATTTGACATTTCCAGGAAAACGCAGCTAATTCATATGCGTTATCGTAACATGTAAATTATCTTATGTATATGTTAGTATTGTACAGAAAAACAGTATTATATTGTATTGGTTGTATGAGTCAGTACTATACTCTAGCGGTTATGTGTGTGTTTGTAGAAAACACTGGCTAAACAAAACATCACTATATACTGTAGCAGTTATATGGGTTATCTTCTAGGTAAATATAATAGTACTGTTTGTTGTATATAAGATTGTAAAAGGAATTGATAGTGTTGATGCATCATCTTTCTTCATTTCTAACAGTGAGAATAGTAGGACTATAAAACACAAATACAAATTTTGGCAAGGTAGGAGCCATCTTCAGCTAAG